CTTCGAATGATCATAATTAAATGCCTGATAAAGGAAAAGTAAAAGCCTCATGACCAACCTTCTGGATTGACTATAATTTAAATATAAGTGAAATTAAAATTTATTAAAAATAATAAAAAATTTCAATTAAATTTTGAACACTTAAAATTCTTCCCATAAATCATTCCAGATATTTGGGGAAGGTTTCTAGTGATTTGGAATTACTTTGGTACAAAAAAAAATCCCTCTAATTAAATAATTTTATTAAATGTATAAATTTCAAAAATTCATAACTAATTACAAAAAATTCTAAATTAAGCAAACTCAAATATATTGGACTCAGCATTGGATTTATATTTATGAAAAATATCAAATCTCTAAAATTAATTAAAAAGTAAAATATCAATATTTTTTTCAACCTTAGTTTAATAAAAAATCTAAACCTCAAAAATTTATAACTAATTGTAAAAAAATTCAAATGACATTTTACTCATGACATTTTACTCATCTTAGGATCGAATATTTATTAAAATTGTAAGAACTCTAAAACTTAAAGTAAATAAAAAGGTCATAAAATAGACCCTTTATTTAATCATTAAAATATTCAATTAAAAACAAAAATTCATTAAATAACAAAAATTTAAGCAAATAAGCAAGCTAATTAATTAAATCATGTTTATAACATTAAAATGTATAATCAACATTCTATCTCCCTCGGGCTGCAGGGCTAAGTGTCTTAAGAAGATCTCGGGTCTTCATGCCTGCTGTGACAACACCACGAATGAATTTGATAGAATGCAAATTATAAATAACAAGTAAATTATGTGAACTAAACAGTGAAAATCATATGAGGAAACTCTACATCTACAACTTATATAGCCTTTAAATCATAATTAAATTATGTGAACATAACAATAAAATCATTTAATCAAATTTATTACTATTGACTATATAAAAACATAATACAAAGCCTGTATATATGATTTGAAAATACACATTGATTTGATAAGATAATTTTATAGTTCGTATAATGTGACTACTGCCTGCAACATTACAACTAAAGCCATATTAAAATTGACATGCACTATACAACTGTAAAACAAATCTAAAAAAACATAACATTGATTGATTAATGCTTTTAATTTTTTTTTAAATTAAAATATATATATATGTCTCCCATTTTAACGTGCGGCTTACCTTCAATATATGTCTCCCATTTAACGTGCGACTTACCTTCAATCACAAGTCGCTCATGCATTGGTTCATTAAATTATAGTTCGCCTTAATTTCTTTTAGCGCTTTTTTTTTTAAATTAAAATATATATATATGTCTCCCATTTTAACGTGCGGCTTGCCTTCAATATATGTCTCCCATTTAACGTGCGACTTACCTTCAATCACAAGTCGCTCATGCATTGGTTCATTAAATTATAGTTCGCCTTAATTTCTTTTAGCGCTTCACGCCGCTCCCGCTAGGGCATCACGCCCGCGACGGCTGGGCATCGCCGCTCCCGCTAGGGCTTCACGCCCGCGACGGCTGGGCTTCGCCGTTCCCGCTAGGGCATCACGCCCGCGACGGCTTGGGCATATCGCCGTTCGCGACGGCTGGGCATCGCGCCGCCGCCTGGTCTCTCGCGACGGCTGGGCTTCGCCGCCGCCTGGGCTTGTTTTCTTCAGGTTGCTGTCCAGGGAAGTTTGCCCTCTCATTTTTCT